AAAAAAAAAAAAAAAAAAAAAAAAAAAAAAAAAAAAAAAAAAATATGAACAATAAGAAGAAGCAGAAAGCAAGAAAAAAATTATAGTGCAAGGCATTGCGTATGCCACGCAGCGAGGCCAAAGCACCCCAGACTAGCCACTTGCCGCACTTGCCACACTTGCCACAAGCCGCACGCCACTGGCGCCAGTTGACAGTGAGTTGGCAATTTGTGGATGCGTTTGCCAATTTGATGTTCAGTGAACCCCCGCAGCAGCTGAAGCCCAGCGGCTGCTGTTGCTCTGGCTTATGCAACAAAGCCAAACAAAAGGCCAAGCCAATTTATCAAAATCTGCTCTTTTGCTATTCATAATTTGCATCACATAACCAGCGCCCCAAACATGGCCAAAACACACACACACACACGCACACATGGCCATAAAAATATGCGTTAATTGTATGGAAATGGAAATGTTATTGACCAGACAGAAAGAGTGAGAAAAAGTGATAGGAGAGAGCGAGAGAGAGAGAGGGAGAGTGAGACTAAATACTAAGAGCATACGAATTGAAATTCCCCAACTCTCTCAGTCCAGCCAAGCATTTCATTTGAGCCCTTTCTTTCAGTGTCTTATACAACACTTAAACACTCATTCACAGAAAAGTTTTGCATGCAAAAAAAAAAAAAAAAAAAAAAAAAAAATTTTTCAAAAAAAAAAAAAAAAAAAAAAAAATGATAATAATAATACAGCAAGCTAAACAATAAACAAATAAAACAATAATTTGGCATAAATCTGGGCATTATCATCCAACTACTTAGCATTGCGGGCGTAATTTTCTCTTCATTTCTTTTTGAGCTTTATTTTTTATTATTTTAATATTATAAATAGAAGGGCCAAGTTATATCAGCTTCGTTACTCAAGCGGCTTATGAAGTGTTGAAGATATATTTATAATAATGTAGAGATAATTATATAATAATATATTACATATAAAAAATTCATATGCTATAATTAATTTATTTTTAGATCTATGCCAATAACATTTATTTTTTATATTTTTATAGAAGAATTTTTTTATATAACAACTTTTTACTTAATAAATACATAGTTCCGCCAGTTCTTCAAGCAATATACTATATGAACGAATCATATACTATATAAACAATTATTAACCATCTATCAATCTATTAGTAACTATCAAGTCAGTCATAAGACAGATTATTTCAAGTTCTAATTCTGTTTTATTATTATTTTATTTTTTTCCTTTCTGGCTTTGAGTTAGGAACCTTTGTTTACCTCGCTTATCAGCCCACTGCACAATTAATTCATTGTAAATTTAGTTAAATACAAAATAAAGTCTAGTCTATAGATTTTATGACAGCTCTAGTGATATCAATAGATTGAGTGGGGCAATACAAAGAATATGCTTTGTGCTATTCGGGTTCTATTGATATCAAAGTGTTAATAAAATGACTTGAATTTTCCAATCGTAGTAATAACTAAAAGTTATTAATATAGAAATTGAACCTCTTATGAGTATTATTATTATTATTATTACTAATGAGAAGAAATCTTTTTGCTTCTGTTAAATATTAAATAAAAATATGTAATATTAATTTTTATTATTATTATTTATATTAATTATATTTTATTTTTATAAAAAAAAAAAATTAATATAAAAAAATATTTGCACAAAAATATAAATATAAATTACATTGAGCCAGAAACATATAAAACAAATTTGCATATACAAAAATCTATTAATAAAATTTTTAATTACTCATCAAAATTTGAAACAAAATATGTAATAATAATGATGATCATAATAATAATAAATGCCGTAAAAATTATTTTTTTACGCATACATTTTAATTTCTAAGAAAATAATCATAGCTTAGCAAAAATATTTTGCCTACAAAAAACTTTAAGAAACTAAATCTGACTAAGCTAAGCAATAGTTGTTTTTTTTTTTTGTTTGTTTTTTGTTTCACTTTTATATTCAAACAAAACTATGACACATTTTATTTGCATTTTCATGGCTGTTAATTTCTCATTACAATAGGTTTTTTTTTCAACAGTATTATTTTTATTATTTGCTGCTATTTTTAGCGCTAGCATATGCGCGCATTTGCTCAATCAAAAATCCAATTAAATTTATAAAAAAAACAAATATACATTTATATGTACATATATATGATCAAAGCTAAGAGGGGGCTTGTCCACATAGTGTTAATATGTATGTGTGTTTGTGTGTGTGTTTGATGACAAATAACCTACGCAAACGCACACTCAGCGAGTTATCAAAAACATGGACGTCAAGTACATTTGGAGTCCAGTGTAAACCCGAGTTGAGGTTTATTATAATATAAAATATTTATGTTAGATAAGCGCGGTGCAAACCAAAGGCCAGGTAAACATAGGTAAATGCTGAGCTTAGGATATCAATCAACGCGCACTTGGCCTGTGTCAAAACAAGATAAAAGCCAAGAGAGTGAATAGGAAGCCACAAACTTGTATATATATACATAAGTAATTTGTGAGACATTCTGTAATGTGAAAAAAAGAAAAAAAGATATCTTTTATATGCAAATGCCGAAAAACGAAAAACTAAAACAATAAACCTGGCAAAATTAGCTAAAGACTTACACACACACACACATACACATCTCACATATTACTTAACAGGCGAACGGAAGTGATTAAGAGAAGCAACAAGTGGACAGCTATCAACAGCAGCGGCAGCTGTAGATACATTCACAGCTAATATATCTGACGGATGCCTGCGCTGAAGAAAGTGAAGAAGCTGCGCTGCGTTTTGTCGGTTACAATCAACCAATGTGCTCTGTCTGTGTGTGTGTGTGAGTGTGAGCCGTTGGGAACTAGACAAAAGGCTTGCTTATGCAAATGCATGGACAGCTAGATACACAGCTATAGATACAGATACAGATACAGATACAGATACATTCGAGTGTGATGTAAGCAGCCAAAATGTGGCTTAATTTATGCAAAGCATTTCTATGTCGGCTTTCTTTTATATACATATATATATATACATATATATTTCTTATAATATATATAACTAAATAGTTTTTACGCCAAAATTATTAACCGTTAGAGCAACACCTTCATTTTTAACACGCTTCTGTGGGTGGCCTAGCTGCGAAAAAAAAATACAAAAATTGCTTGAAAATTAGTTTAGCACTTTTGTTTTTGAAAGTTTTCGTCTCTGAGTGCCTGCCACGCCCCCTTGCACAGTAAACTGAAACATAAAACTCTTTATAATTGCACTGTAAACATTTCACTTTCGTTTTTAATACCCGAAACAAAAATGTTGTCGCCGCGCATCGTGCACAGAATAATTTTTCGGCTTACCTTGTTTTTGTTGGCTTTGGTTTTTTTTTTTGTTTCTGATTTAATTTTATTATTGTCTTGTTTTGTGGAGCAGCCACTTTCGCCATGTGGGTGCTGTGAAATGCGGCTGCTGCTGCTGCTGCTGCTGCTGATGATGAGCTGTTGAGCTGTTAAGATCTGTGCAGTTGATCCCATGGAGGACTCAATTAGCAGCTCGTTTCTTGTTGCCTCAGATTTGCATAATAAATGTGGCTACTGTGGCGAATCGTGAACTGCGATGACCCCTTCCAGATGACCTCCCGCACATATCGTATATATCGTACATATCGTTCGCCTTAACGATTGACATTTGCCTACGATTTTGGGTAGGGCTCTTAAAGGCAATTTCATATGCTGATTAGCCGCGCACACGTGACTCGGGACGAAGTTTGTCGCGCTGCAAATTTCACAAGATTTCGCGTTTGCCGTTGCAGTTGAGGCTGAACTCAAAGTCAATAAGTAGACAGATATATATGGTTATGTAATAAATATAAAAATAAATGTTTATTATACTTAGCTCAGTTTGGCTCAAACAATTATTCGAATGCTGTTAACTTAAAGAGTCGAGAAACCACATTCAATAAGATCTTAAAAACATTTGAAAATCTTTTAGTATTAATATATAATTTAATTTAATCACGTCTTTATCTACTCAATCGATTTTTCATGGAATCGAAGTAAATATATTCAGATTGGAAGAGTAAAGAACTTTCTTAGAAAATCTTTGGAAGAAAATATACATCTATAAATTCAAATATTGAAAATTCCAAAGTAATTTAGTATTTAAATATATTATTTGTAATAAAAAATCTCGACAATTTCACTGAAGATATTTTGTGTATTTTTGTGTTTAATATATAATATAATATAATATATTTTCAGTATATAAATACATTTACTTTTATCTATTTTCTAGAAATAAATATATTTAACTTTCATCTATTTTTTACAACTATAAATTTAGTATAATTTAAGCTAAGCCCAGTTCCATCAACCCCTACTAATTCGCTTTCATTCATTTACTTGCAGATCGAACTCGAAGGCCTCGTATCTGCCGCGTCAGAGCCTGGAGAAGCTGAACAACACAGATCCGGATCATGGCATCTACAAGCTGACGCTCACCTCCAACGAGGACCTGGTGGCGCACAGCAAGCCCAGCTACGGCATTGCGGCGGCCGCCGCTGCTGCTGGCAAGCTGAAAATGTCCAACAATTTGCCGGATGTCTTGCCGCTGGGTGTGAAGCTGCAGCAGCAGCCGGTGAAGCCGATGACGCCCAGTTCGCCGGGCGATGTGGTTGTCGCCATGCGCTACGGCTCCAATAATAATCTCGCAACGAATGCCACGCCCACGAATGCAACGAATACTGTTGGCGGCAATAATACAGCCTATGCCATGATCTATGGCCAGACGGCGCAGCAGCAGCAGCATCCGCAGCAACAGCAGCAACGGTACTCGACGCCCACAATGGGCCACGCCTACAGCAGCAAAAGCCGATCGCCAGCGCCACAATTTACGCGATCTCAGTCGTACGATGTGAAGCAACTGCAGTCCCTAAACGATGCCACCACATTTATCTCCCAGTCACAGGTGGATCTGAAGCAGGTGGTACAGAATCTGGAGACGACGCTCGAGGAGGCATCGCTGCCAGCGACACCGCCGCAGCTCTTCTCGCCGGCCAACTCCAATTCCGATTGCAGCCTCAGTACCAGCTCACTGGAATGCAGTCCAGTGAATGCGAATACGAATGCGAATGTCAATGCGGATGCAGCTGCGAACATCTTTCGGGCTGAGGTAATCAGCACCACGCCGACGACGATGGCGACGACAGCGACGCAGCCGAAGCCACCTGTCAGCCGGCAGGAGTCGCTGCGTGAGAACATTGAGAAGATAACGCAACTGCAGTCACAGCTGATGTCAGCGCATCTGTGTGATACGGCGGGTCTGCTGAGCAGCTATGGCAAGCCGAGCAGCACCACGAATACGAGCACGAGCACGAGCACCACCACAGAGACAGCCACAATTGCAGCCACCGCCACAGCCAGTGAGCAGCCGCCCAGCCCAGCAGCCACTGCTCAGTTGGAGGAGGAGCCGGCAGTTGAAGCGGCCACGGCAGCCACGCCCGAAGCCTCGCCCATGGATAGCCTGCAGCTGATGCAGCGCAGCGAACTGGTGCTAATTGTCAATCCCACGCCCAGCACCTCGGACATGGCCTGCCAAACGGATGAGGATCTGCTGGACAATGAGCTGGTGGCCACGCGCGAGGAGCAACAGACGCGCACCACACTGCAGCCGCGTCAGCAGCAGGCCATCGAGCTGGAGTACGAGCAGGCGGCCCTAGAGCTGATCAAGCAGCTGTTGCCCAACGACAAACTCATCGAAATCCTAACACCAAAAAGATATAAGCCAACGACACAGTATGTGAACAACTTGTACAATCCGAATGTGCAGCTGCGTCCGGCCAAGCGGGATGTGGGCACCTCGACGCTGATGCGCATGAAGGGCGACAGCGCCAGGAGCAACAACTGTAGCAACAGCTCCAGCAACTCAGTTGCAACGACAGAGCTGCAGCTGGTCAGCGTGGAGCTGCAGCTGACGGATGAGGACGATGCAAGCGACACGGATAGCACGAATTTAATCAAGCAGCAGCTGGTGAGTATCCAGTAGTTCATATCATCCCTATAAGCCTCATGCTAACTCTCATCCACATTTTTGCCTTTGCAGCATGCGCTAATCAAGCAGTTGAACCAAAAAATTGGCTCGCTCAAGAGTGAGCAGCAAACAATTTGCGATGAGTGCAGCATTAATGACAAACTGGGCCTCGATTTGCTGGCCAAATTAACGGAGAAGGTGCGTCCCAGCGAAGCCTCCAAGTTCCGCACCTACATCGATGATGTGGGTCACATAACCAGCCTTTTGCTCTCGCTTTCCGAGCGTTTGGCGCAAACTGAAAGCAGTCTGGAGACGATTAGCAGCCAGCAGGAGAAGGTAAAGCCATATTCTTGTCTCTCTCTCTCTACATATATGGGATCACAACTAAATACTCTTTATTTTTTATCTTACAGAGTACGCTGGCAGCGAAACGTGAACGTCTCTATGAGCAGCTTGAGGAGGCGCAACGGCTCAAGTCTGACATCGATAGGCGTGGCAGCAGCATTGCCAAACTGATTGGCAAACATCTCAACGTTGACATGTGCGCCGATTATGATTACTTTATTAATATGAAGGCCAAACTGATTGCCGATGCACGCGACCTCTCCGACAGGATCAAGAGCAGCGAGGAACAGTTGAACGCCTTAAGCGATGCGCTAGTCCAAAGCGATTGCTAGCTGGGCTCTCAATTCAATTTTCCGTGCTGTCAACTTTAAGTTGAGGGCTGTTTGCGAGAATTGCCTTAGCTGCTGGTCGGGCTGTGTGTATTTAACTTAACTTAATGTGCTTAAAATTCAACCACAACACACACACTATAATGTATAAATATTTTATGTTCATTTGTGATTTTCAATTAGTATGTAGGGTAAACTATGTATCAACCGCATATGTGTAAGCAATTTTTTACATAATTATCAAAAGCAAAGATAAACTGTATGCATTAATAAAAATTTTAAAACAATTTAAATAGCTCAGTCATAGAATTTGGTTTTCAAATTTGTCCCGCGCAAAGGCGCGATCTGGCAGTACGTCTGGCGTTGCCACTGAAGCTTAAACTCATGTTATTGCAACCATTGCCTCACAACTATCGTAACGCAACTATCGACAATGTTATATATCGATAGCAATCATTGATATTTCATCACATAGTATTGCCACTGCTATTGCTTATTTACAAAAGAAAGCAATAATTTATGTTACCAAACGTGTTTTCTTGTAATTCAAAACCAATGCTAACGTGGCATATATTAGCCCATGTTTCTTATGTAAATTTTTGAACAATATTGATTTGTAATCGATAACAAATATTGCTAATCAATGCAATCAGCTGATGGAATGCCCTCTCTATTAAATATTATCAATTAAATTGCTATGTTTAGAGGCAAAACACTCTGCCAAAACTGGATTAGAAGCGCTTTGGCAATTACAGCGCCTCAAACACAATTACATCGCAGTTGGCTAATAAACGAGTAAGTTCTAAAATACCAATTGCTTGCGATATTTTAATACAAAAGACTAAACCATAGCAGAACGACAACAACAGCAGCACATCCGCAGCATCAACATCAGCAGAAGCAGCATCAGCACCTGTTTCGTGGCATGGCAACGGGTGGCGAAACAAAGGCGGAGACGCCAAAGCACACTAACAGATTAGCAGCATCCAAGTCACCATATTTGCTGCAACATGCACATAATCCCGTCGACTGGTATGTTTTCTTATAAGAAATGAGATAAAAAGTAAACCTTTCTGGCAACCTCCTTGTAAGGTATCCCTGGTGTGAGGAAGCCTTTGAGCGTGCGCGCAGCGAGGACAAGCTGATCTTCTTGTCCGTGGGCTATTCCACGTGCCATTGGTGCCATGTCATGGAACACGAGTCGTTCGAAGATGCCGCCACAGCTGAGGTGATGAACAAACATTTTGTAAACATCAAGGTGGATCGTGAGGAGAGACCGGATATAGACAAGGTCTACATGCAATTCCTCCTCATGTCCAAGGGCAGTGGCGGCTGGCCAATGAGCGTTTGGCTAACGCCAGATCTGGAGCCATTGGCAGCTGGCACCTATTTTCCGCCAAAGCCGCGGTAAGGCATAACACATTTCATTTCAAGACTGAAAACCCATAAAACTCTTTGCTGCGCGCAGCTATGGCATGCCCTCGTTCACTATGGTGTTGGAATCGATAGCCAAGAAATGGGTTTCGGATCGCGATTCACTCAAAAAAGCGGGCAGCACTCTACTACAGGCCATGCAAACCAATCAGAGTGCTGGAACTAATGCAGAACTGGCCTTCGAGCGGGGCAGTGGTGATGCCAAGCTGGCGGAGGCGGTGGCCGTACATAAGCAGCGGTTCGATCAGCAGCATGCGGGCTTTGGCCGAGAGCCCAAGTTTCCGGAAGTACCACGGCTCAATTTCTTGTTCCATGCCTATTTGGTTACCAAGGATGTGGATGTGCTGGACATGGTGCTGCAGACGCTGGATCACATTGGTCGTGGCGGCATCAACGATCATATTTTCGGCGGCTTTGCGCGCTATGCGACCACGCGAGATTGGCACAACGTACACTTCGAGAAGATGCTGTACGATCAGGGCCAACTGATGGCTGCGTATGCCAATGCCTACAAGTTGACCCGAAGCAAAGAGTTTCTGGGCTATGCAGATCGTATCTATGAGTATTTGATCAAGGATTTGCGGCATCCGGCAGGTGGCTTCTATGCGGGCGAGGATGCTGATTCCTTACCTACCCATGAGGATACGGTCAAGGTTGAGGGTGCGTTCTATGCCTGGACATGGGATGAAGTGAAGCAGGCATTTCAAAAAGAACAATCTTGCTTTAAGGATATCAGTGCAGCACGTGCTTTTGAGATTTACAGCTTCCATTATGACCTAAAGCCGTCGGGCAATGTATCGCCATCCAGTGATCCGCATGGCCACCTGAGTGGCAAGAATATATTGATAGTGCGTGGCTCAGAGGAGGACACTTGTTCAAACTTCAACATGGAGCTGGAGAAACTGCAGCAGCTGCTGCGGACAGCGAATGAGATCTTACACAAAATTAGGGATCAGCGTCCACGTCCACATTTGGACACGAAGATCATCTGTGGTTGGAATGGCTTGGTACTCTCCGGCCTAGCAAAGCTGGCCAATTGTGGCACGGCCAAGCGAGATGCGTATTTGGCTACCGCCAAGCAACTGATGGAGTTTATACGCAAACACCTGTACGATGAAGAAGAAAAGCTGCTATTGCGCTCCTGCTACGGAGCTGGCGTGGCGGATAATACTCTTGAGCAGAATGCGTAAGTGAATGAAGGAGTATAACCACATATATCCACTATATGTGACCCATTTTACAGCACTCGCATTGAAGGCTTCCTGGATGATTACGCGTTTCTAATCAAAGGCTTGCTAGACTATTACAAAGCCTCCTTGGAATTGGAAGCCTTGAATTGGTCCAAGACGCTGCAGGAGACACAGGACAAACTCTTTTGGGATGAAGATAAGGGCGCCTATTTCTTTTCACAGCAAAATGCGCCAAATGTCATAGTGAGACTTAAAGAAGGTACACGGCTTCATTTACTCTCACGAAGCTCGTTACACATCTCATCACAATTTCATTACACAGATCACGACGGCGCCGAGCCCTGTGGCAACAGTGTGGCTGCCCGTAATCTTACGTTGCTCTCGCATTATTACGACGATCGCCAATATTTCGAGCGTGCTACGAAGTTGTTAAATTACTTTGCCGATGTCTCGCCCTTTGGCCATGCCTTGCCCGAGATGTTGTCGGCGCTGCTGTTACATGAAAACGGTCTCGATTTGGTGGCTGTGGTGGGTCCCGATTCCGAGGACACGCGACGCTTTGTCGAGATTGTGCGAAAGTTCTATGTGCCGGGCATGATCATCGTACACTGTGATCCACTGCATCCGGATGCGGCATGCAATCAGCGACTGCAACAGAAGTTTAAGATGGTCAACGGCAAGACGACCGTCTACATTTGCCATGATCGTGTCTGCCGCATGCCAGTGACAGATCCAGCCCAGCTTGAAGAGAACCTGATGGCCAACTTCTTCAAAGAGCGCATCTGAACTAAGAACCACTCAATTGACATTACTCGAACTAGTTGTTAGCGTTATTATGTTGTTATTAGGGTTTAACAACATTGTTAGATTGTTTAGCTTCTAAAGCATATATATATCTATATATGTATACATATATTAATCGGTTCTCGGAACATGTATTTTAGTTTGTAGCTCCTCTTTTTGTGACCTCTCCCCATTTTGAAAAGCAACCCTAACTCAATTTAAGCTATAAAATTAAAAAGATATAATGGAAGTTAGATTAGATGCAATCTCAATCCAACTGTGGAGGGTTTTCAATTTACAATTTATGTTTTTGAGGATAACTTTAGGAAATTGTTTAGTTATGACAGTTTTGTGGTAAACCTTAAGTGGAATTGCATTTTTTAAAACGGACTCGAGATTATATTTTTGTACAAATTAAATGTGGGAAGTTATAAAAATATATGTCATATATAAACAATTTCTTAAGTAGGTCCATTTGGGCAGTGGTTAAATGAAAATAACAAATTGCGGTTTCATCTTCACAAATACAACACATTAATTTGTGCATCATTTATTGGAATCGTTCGTTTGGCTGCTCCTCATTCAAATGGACACGGCGCGCGTCAGGCCACAACTAAATACTAAAAATTGTGCATTTTGCTTGCTTTTGTTTCTTATTTTTTGTTGCTCTTTTATATTATTATTTATATATTATTATTATTATTATTATTATTGTTGTTGCCGTCGTCGACTGCAATATTCAGATGAGAGGAGCCGCCCAGGCGTAAAAACTAAGAACTATAAACTAAATGCTGTGACCTGCTGCGCTTCATCGACGCATTCACTTGTGGCAGCATTCTCAGCCATTCTCTGGAGTGAGAATTGCTGAGCTATCTGCCTGATCTGAAGATCATCAGATCGTGCCACAAGAGTGTCTGATGCGACGGGCCAATTGGCGCATAAAGAGAACTAAATGTATGGAGAGAACAGTTCGGTAATCGATAATCGGTAATCATAATCGTAATATAATAGTAATATAATAGTAGTAATAAAAATAATTTAGTTGAAATTCACATTCATCACATTGGTTTGCACTTGGCGGCCAACCACTTGCCCTTCGTGCCTGTGGTGTTGTTGTTGTTTTTGTTGTTGTTGCTTGAATGCAGAAGCTGTCGCTACATTTACTGTTGTTCTTGTTGTTGTTGTTGCTGTTGCTGTTCTTTTTGTTGTTGAAGGTGTTACTGTTGTTGTTCTAGTGGTTGTAGCGTCAGCTGGTGCATCCGCTCAGGTATCTGCATCGTTAAAACTCATGGCCGCATCGAAGCTATCAACGATCGTCTCCATGCGCTCGTGGTGCTCGAAACGTGCAAATTTACGCTCCATGCGCGTATACGAATGCCGGCGAGAGTGTCGTGTCCGTCGAAAGAAACGGAAACGTGTGTCCTCCTCCTCTTCATCGTATTCGGGCGCCGACACTGAATCTTCGTCCGTTTCGCGCAGGAATTCCTTGGGATCGCGATGAATCTTAAAGATTTTCGTCGTGCCATGCAGCTTGGATATGGTCCGTGATGCATTTAAAATACCACGGTCGGCCAGCGGCAGATGCTGGTGCTGATGCTGATGCAGTTTGTGTGTACGATTCTTGACGGCAGTTAGCCGATTTGTGATGGACACCACGTTGAACAGCTTGGATAGCTCCGAGTCAACGGAACGTGTTTCGCGACGCAGGTTCTTACCGTTTTTAACATAGATAAAATGATTGATTGATTGATTATCGGCCACCAGGCTGGCGGTGGGTGAGCTGGAGCTGCCATTGCCATTAGCGCTGCCGTTACTGTTACCAGTGCCGTTCATATTCACATTGCCGACGCTGTTGCCGTTGGACGTTAACAACGTTGGTGTGGAGGGCGGCGCTGGGGGCACGTGCGGCATTGTGTAGCAACGCTGACGTCCCTCATACAGGTTGGCCACATTATACCGGCTGAGTCGGCACGATTCCGAGTCAATTTCTTCGTGGTCGGAACTCGGCATGTCCATAGCCTGCACGCGTACGTGTATGTGTATTTGTGTTAATGTGTTTTTATGTGTGTGTATGTGTTGGTGTTTTGAGAGTGGGTGCGTTCGCGTGAGTGGGCAGCAGCAGACGAAGAAAAAGGGCGAAAAATTGGGCGTTGTAATAATTGACACATTACATTTTGGCATGCTAACAATATTTAGATGATGTTTGTATACCTGTAGCAAGCCCTCCACTTCCGAGTAATGACGATCCGTCAGACGGTGCAGTTGTTGATCCATTTTTGCTAAACAACAACAACAGCATAACAAAAATACGACCGTCCGATACCAATACTTTTAGCTGCACAGCAACCCTGCGCACTGCGCAGTCCCAGACCGAGTTCGATACCAATGCGCCACTGCCCTGGTTGCCGAATGAGTATCTAGTGGCAACTCTATCAAGTAGATGGCAGCGCTGTGCGCTAAATTAACTTGTTGAATAAATCGAAATGTGTGCATATTCTTTATTGCGACCGCTCGCCTTATTTATTTAAATAAGTTTACTTTTTAAAGCGTTGCTGTTCAGTGGCCATTGGTACATCCTCTTCGCTATTCGGCCAGTTCCCGGCCTCTACCTCTTGATAGAAGGCTCCACCTCTACCTCGGCCAGGGATTTAACCAGTTTACGAAATTTTTATGGAGAACGAATCGTCCTTTAGAGCCCATTTGGAGAATGAAACATACTTTATATCAGTTACCTGAGTAAGTACGCTTCCATGGGGGCTGGCCATCGGAATCCTCCTGAGTGTTATGCTCGACAATTTGGGCCTGTTCCAATAGATCACAGAATGTTTAAATACTATGGTGAGAAATGTGTTTGCGGTACTTAATGTTTAACAGAGCGCACAGGAAATCCAGTTCCGTCTCCGTGTTCGACGCTGGTTTTCCAATTGAGCGAGCAGCGCGCGTTTCTCGAAAACGAAGTTGTTCATGGACACGCTATTCTACTGTTTATCCCGAAAGAACTCCATGTAGACATGATAAGCCGGCTTGGTGGGTGAAAACTGTTCGCGAATGAGGTCAATTGCATTGTTCCAGCACTGGGCCTCTATGGCCCAGGTGGAATGCCGTAAAAGAGCAACGAAAAGCCCTTTAAAGCGTTCTTATCGCTGATGTCTTCGAGCTTTTTGTATGTTACAATGTTTCTAATAAACTCTTCGACATGTGCGTGCAGCCGTCTTTAACATTAATTATATTTTGTTTCAATTAGAGCTATCAGGGGCTGTTCATATGTTTGTATGTATGTATGCGTATGATTCACTTACCTGTCGCGCCGTTTTCTTTTATCTCTGCAGCGATCGGCGGGTGCGATAATTTATAGAAAATTCTTGTGAATTAACAGGTGGATAGAAATGAGAAGTAGGAAGCTCTAAAATATGCATTATTTTTGCTTTGCATGTGTAAATTTCCGTCCATCAATGATGTCCAGACTTAGCTGAAAACCTGCTTTAAAGGCAAAATATTATTTTCCTAGAAACAAATATAAATGTAGTAGAAATCTATATTAATTTAATTAATGCTCTATTTGATATTTCGCTCATTCAAATTCTCTCCGAATGCCTATATAAATATATGTATGTATGTAATTTCGTGTTAAACTGAGTTAAAGAAACAAAAAAGTCCCCTGCAAAACAATAGACATATTCACATACCTATGTACATACATATTTAAATGTTTATACATATACATACAAACATATTTACAAGAGAACCTTGCTCATACACGAAATCAACAGTTGCCGGATTTTCGAACTCGAAAGTTGTGGCCCTCTCTCAGAGAGCAAATGAGTCAGAAATATTTCGCAACGCAAAAAGCTCTCAAATTGGTATTTTTTATTTAGTTGATACGCTGACTTTAGAGAAGCAGCAACTGACTTTTGTTTATTTATTAATAACCAAACACCACAGAAAATGACGATGCTGTCGGACGAACAGTTTCGCATACTCATCGACACTATCAAATCTCTGGCGCCGGAAAAGGAGCAGCAATCGAAGGGCAGCTTCAGCAACTGCGTGGTGCGGTTTAGCGGGCAGCGAGACCACGACGCCGTCGACGAGTTCATAACAGCTGTAGAAACCTACAAGGAGATGGAGGGCATTAGTGACAAAGACGCACTGAAGGGAATTTCGCTGCTCTTCAATGGCGCCGCCGTTATGTGGTGGAAGGGTGTGCGACGGGATGCCCACACGTGGGAAGACGCACTCAAACTGCTGCGCGATCACTTCTCGCCCACAAAGCCCTCCTATCAGATCTACATGGAGATCTTCGAAATGAAGCAGGAAGACGGCGAAGTAATCGACCAGTTCATATGCAAACAGCGTGCGCTGTTGGCCAAGCTGCCGGAGGGTCGTCACAACGAGGAGACCGAGTTGGATTTCATCTACGGCCTGATGCATCAAAAGTACAGAAGTCACATACCACGTCACGAGATCAAGTCCTTCAAGGAGTTGCTCGAACGTGGTCGCATGGTAGAACGCACGAACTAGATGATATCTATATAACTCATTTTTAAATAAAATATTGTAAATGCTAGTTAATCTGCAGGGTATTTTCACTTCAGTCATAGTAAAGTGAAATCGACAGCTTTTTATGAAGAGAATGAGAGACATAATCGAACTATTTTTTCGGACGAAGCTAATGAAAGCTAACTGTGATATGAATGCTTATACACGTATTAGGTATTTTATAAGTAAAAAAAAAATCTAAAATCTACAAGAAAAGAATATACACAAATTTAAAAACGAAAAATTGCTACTTTGTATATATTTTTCAGCTGCAAATTTGAAAACCGACTTAGCGCGATCTTTTCCATTTTCGGATTTCTGAAATACATATGTATTGAGAACTGAAATGCAAACACCCCGCCCGCAATTTCCCATATAAAAACAAATTAGGAATTTTGTTTTTTAGTTGTTTTTTGTTTTTGTGTATTTGGATGGTTTGAGTTTTGGTTTGATTTTTTCAGTTTGATTTTGCGTTGATCGCAGCCTCTTGTGGTCGTCGATAGGCCCCCAGCTTGAGGAGTATGCGAATGTGGAAGAGTTCGACATTGCGCACACTTCATCGGGAAACGCAGACCGCAGCGTCTGCTACGCTATGATTGGCCAATGTGCTCCAAAAAAGATGTTGGCGCACGCGGCAGAGCAACGGCTACCATGGTGTGTTGTGAAACACCGACGTTGTTAGGATTGGCACTGCGCGCCTATGGATTCTGCACAAGAGACTGGACGTGCAACATTGCGGAGCTCCTCGACAGTCGCCACAATCTGGAGCGGCATGGCAGCGACGAATCGGAAGCCCCTGTTTTGTGTGTGAGAGCTGGCGTGCCTTACGCTTACCAGGGAAGTGGAGCTCCAAGGTGGGAACTGCCACCGGTACCTGGTAATTTAGCTTGCCAACCGCACGAATGGCGACAGCATAGCCATTGTAGTGCGATGTAATCCATTGTTTGACATTAAAAATGTCAGTTTAAAAAGTTTGTTTTTTTTTTTCGATTTTCTGTAAAAGAAAATTGAAGGTTTGACCATGACCAAGACTCAGCAGCAGCTGTCGCGCAGAAGCAACCGGCAGAGGCCACAACTTCAAGTCGTACTCAGTTAGCAGCAGCGCCACAGTTCACCAAAGCGAACTGCTGCAGCGCACCGAAGCGAACTGCAGCAGCGCACCATAAGTAAACCGCAGCGTGCTGCCAGAGCTGGGCAGCGGCATGGAGTTGCACCTCGCAGCTTGCGACACACAAAAGCCACTGCGTTGTCCTCCCATGGACGTGTTTTTGTTTTGCTGCATTGACTAAGGATCGACGCGAAAGCAACTGCAGTTTCGAACTAAGCGACAAGTGAGCAGCGCGTGGGTCCACTGGCCGAAGCTAGCGAAGCACACGCCCTCTGCTTGAACGCAGCGTACGGCACCACAGCTACGTTGCGCAGACACTAGGTCAAGGCAGCGGGTTTTGAGCGACAAAAAAAGGGGAAAGAGCAAAGCACACGCAACACCCATCACGGCCCGAGAAGCTGAGACGACGCAAACGGAGCACAGGCAACGAAGCTGGCCGCGCACAAAGCTCATCGACTGCACAGTTCCGAAGAACTCTGCAGAGATAAGCAATGCACGAGCAAGCGTCGCTGCTCGGCTACGTCACACGCCAATCAACGACTTAGCCTAGGGGCGAAATGCGTGCGCCAACCCGTTCTCCAAATCCTGCCACTCGAAGGTTGGTGAACAAGTTCACCGGTTGTAGTAGAGTCCAATTTGTGATTATAATAATAATAATCACGAAAAATCATTTACGCTGGCGTTCACAGCCAAATTGAGCCGAAGTTTCGGCGTGAAGTGCTAGCGACATTAGAATGCCGCTATTTTAGCTCTGCTTTGCTGGCCGGCGCGCCACTTGATGCTGAACGAAAGTCCGAAACTGACATAGGCAAAAAGCTGCTAGAGCTTTCTGTGTGTGTGTGTTGTTATTGTTCTTCTTCGATGTTGTCATTTTCCACTCTCCTCGTGTCCATGTGAGGCCAGCCGACAAAGTGAGTTTTGATGTGAGAGAGATGGTGAGAGAGAGAGAGAGAGAGACATTGACGTGGACATCCAAATATGCGCCCTGCGCAAGTGTTGTTATTGTAGATGTCGATGATGTCATGTCCCGTATATTGCGTGTGCGTGCGTGTGATGTTTAGTTCGCCTCATTCGTCTGATCCGGCGCCTGCCGCTTGCGACTGACTTCGGACGTGTGATCCCGCGCCTGCCGCTTGCGACAGACCTCGAACGTGTGACCGCGGAAGTTGCAGTAGGTGCAGCGTTCAACGCGATTAGCTCCGCGTAGAGGTCCCTTTGGTTGCGCCTCAACCACCTCCAGTTCGTTGTGCTCAATGATGCGGCCCTGCTCAAGCAGATCGCGGAATGTTGAGATACTTTGGCGGGGAATGTGCTTGCGGTACTTGATGTTGAGCAAACCGTAGAGAAAGTCCAATTCGGTTTCTTCGTTGTGTCGTCCCTCCGGCAATTGGGCGAGCAGTGCACGTTTTTCCACCACGAAGGTGTCGATGGCAACAGAGTCGGACTGCTTCTTCTCGAAGAACTCCATGTAGACCTGGTAAGCCGGCTTAGTGGGCGAAAAGTGCTCGCGAATAAGGCTGATGACATCGTTCCAGCACTTTGCCTCCTTGCGCACGCCCTGCCACCAGGTGGATGCAATACCATAGAAAAGCAGGGATATGCCCTTCAAGGCATTCTCATCGCTGATGTCCTCCAGTTCCTTGTAGGTGACAATATTTGTGATGAACTCCTCGACTTCGTCGTGGCTGCGAGCACCGCCGAATCTATGCGTACAGGTGCTAAAACTTCCTTTTGTCTTTGACGCGTCGCTAGCAGAAGCAGCCGCATTGCCAGCTGCGCTAACTGCCGACGAGCGTACAGCCTCGATGAGCGCATGAAGTTGCTCATTGGTCATCTGGATATTTGTCGCCATTGCTAACGATTATCACGCACTTTGTTGTTGTTGTTGATGAAAAAGTAAATTGCGACAGCGAACAAAGCCAATAAGTCACGGCGAATGCTGCTGCTCCTTGTGCTGGTCGTAGTTGACTGAAGTCGTCACGAATATGCCGGCAGCTTTTATATCCAAGCGTTGTGAAATTGAATTTCGAAAAAGTACCTAAGCAAATGAGAGAGAAAGAGAGTAGTGGAAAGAGAGCAGTGTGTGATATTGTTGTTGCTAATTCTAATCACTATAATTTAGTGAGTCATTTTATTTTGTGAAAGACTCTTCGATCGATACATATGTATGTATGTATGTATGTACATATGTATGTATGTATGGACATACGCACTAAGTTCTTGAAAAATTCCGATAAGCGACGTTAGCAACAAAAACTAATCCATTAATTAATATACATATGTATGTATGTATGTACTTATAGTACATCTATACACAGGTGTACATGTACATACATATATATATGTAAGTATGTATATTATTTGTATAGTTTTGTAAGTTGTATTTTCGTATTAACATGAAAATGTGCGAGCACATGTCCATTTCTAAACGTACATATGTATGTATGTATATATTTACGTCTATATATGTATGTACATTTTCTTATGTATGTATGTCTGTATGTATAAATCGGGGGTGTCAATTTTTTCCGTGGAAAGAGAACAAATGCTGGATTTCGTTCGCAAACAAAAGTAATAAGGGGAAAAAATTTAAAATATGTATGCACATACATACATATATATATGTATATACTTTTATGACAAAAAGTTAGGTCAGCAAATATTGTACATATTCGCTTCCTCTACCAAATCTAAGCTTAACAATTATAAAAGCCGAAAATAACAAAATTATGAACATACATATGTATGTATGTATGATGTAAGTCCATAAATATGCTATTTCTATGTATGTCTGTATATACATATGTACATATATACATATGTACGCATATCAGAGACTAAAATAGAGAGAGAGATAGAGCCCAGCGCCACAAAATAACTGCGTTTTTTGTTTAGTTTTCTACTCCCTATGTCGGCATTTCGTACAAACGGCACGCAGTTGCTAGAAATACTCTGAAACGTTTCTATTGTTTATATTAGCAAATCCAAACATTGGATTCAGTTTCCAAACACAAACTTTTCCCGCTAAGTAAAGAAATCTGTGCTTCATGTCTTCTGTCAATGCAGTAAGATGATTTGAATATCATAGTTAGATTGATGGACGATCTAATGGTTAACTTTTAAGAACTTGAAATTAAAAAATTGATAAATTCCAAGTAAATCAAGGGTTTTGATTCCTGAATTCAATTTCATTTCATTTAAAAAAAAAAATCGTTATTGCTTAGATCTATAAGTTTTGAATACTAAAGCAATTGTCCAATTGAACATACGGGAACTGTCCAGCCCTGATTCATGTTTTAAACGATTTGTAGTCGATTATTATGCGATGTTGGTGATATCGATTATTTTCAAACTGCTCTACTATCGACGCCGACAAATAACAACAAACTGCTAGAAATTATTTCTAACACGTTTTACTTGTCAAATGTAGTTTTATTATAATTATTCCTTCGGGGTGTTGTTATTGTTTTAATATTTACACAATTACGTAAATTATATTTAAAGTTCGCCAAACGCCGTTATTTACGAGGTCCGTACACCAACAAATACAAAAATAAGCAACATTAACTATGCCGAGCCAAGCGCCAAACACTGCATTGAATTTCAAAATTAAGCTACTGTCCGGCAATAATGTGGTGTTGGTCGATTGCGTCGGATTCGAGAGCGAGCTCTTTATGCCACAAATCATCAAAGGCCGTATAACATTCCAAAACATAATACCGAATCATCGCTGCTGCAATGCTGCGGCTGCCAATGTCCAAACGGGCCAATTGATTCTGCCCGCCTCCAAATTGGGCGATGTTAAAATTGTTACTGGTCTTGCAGCTGGCACGGCCAAGAGATTAAACTATCGGCCACAAATTGCCAACATGACGATTCCATTGCCTGGGAGCACTTCTTCATCCAGCAGCTCATCGGAGCGACCGATCAGCAGGGCTGACAAAGAGAATCTATCGATGCAGAGGACGCCCGAACAAGTGCGCTGCAGAGTACCAGCTGGAACTGGCCAGGGTGGTGTCTTGCCTACGTCCTCGCCCATTTGTCTGGATGCTTTCGAAACCTCGTCCTCATCAACTCTGCCCAGTCCGGCGCTGGACTCCTACACCAACAGAACTGTGACTCAGGACTCGCTTAGTATTAATCCACCTTCATCCACTTCCAGTTTCAATTCGTCCGCAAAGAGCCCAGACTTTGCTCAATGTAACTTCATGCACAAAGCCCCACCTATGCGCACCTATTCACGGCGCAAGCCGAATACCATGGACATCAACAACAGTAGTGGCGGTTGCAGCAACAGCGCCAGCGTCAGCCATCCGAAGTCTCCGCTTGCCTGGAGAAAGAAGAAACTGACAAAGGTATCGTCGACAAAGCCGCCGAGTCCCTGCATGAAATTGGAGCTGCGTCGTCGTAAGCTAATTGTGGATCAGAAAAAGTCTCTGCCCAAGCATACGCAGACGAAGGCTACATCGACGCCCATTACGACGACTAAAATACGTCGGAAGCAGGTGTCGGGCAAGACACGGCAGCAGTTCGACGCACTGAAGGGCACCGCCTTCGATATGCTTACCTCCATGGGACACAGTCACGTCTCTGCCCAGCTGGCCAAACAATTTAAAGAAGCTTGCGTAGAGAAGTACTCGGAAGCTTTGCCGAGCTACGCGGAGCTATCCGGCACGCGCCCATTGGAGCACGATCGTCAGGTCAGGTCGTTAATAGCAAAGGCGAAGCGCCTGGATAAGCAAATGTCCAAATCAGAAAAAGTGCAACTAAAAAGAAAACGAATGTAGATCCTGCTAGAGTACTATAGGATTATACGCGATTTCTTAAAAAAAAAGATCATTATAAAACAACGTAAAAGATTTAAAAAAAAAAAAATAAAAATCGGGTCACACGCGACTGCTGGAAAGGAAAAGAATTTAGCACACACTGCAGTGTCCGAAGCAAACCAAAGGCGGTTGGTGAAAAGAATAGAAATATGGTTAGATCAATGAGGTTGCTGAAAATAACAAGATTTTAGCACATACTTCATTGCACGACTTTCAAAGCGGTTGGTGAAAAGGATATCAATATAGTTGATGCCAAGGAAATGGAAACGTCTAAAAAAGAAATGAACTAAATTTATATATACAGTCAGAGCCTATGGCTATTTAGTAAGTCTTCAAAGTCTGAGCAAAGGCGGTTGATGAAAAGAATAATAATTTAGCTCATGCCTGACTGCTGCAAATTAAAGAATTTAGTTCATTTTCTGCATTACATTTTCTCATTACAATTGAAAAAAATGTGCATCGATTATAAATGGGGCAAATATATATATGTCTATTCTACAAATCATAATTATTATTATTATTATACATATCTATTTAAGTGGAGTAAGTCATATAAAACATAGTCAAATTCGAGGAATGGCCAACGGGCAGCAGTATTTAGAATTCTAATTTCGTATTGTTAAGGACTAAAGACTAAACTAAACTAAGCTAACATTTAAGGATAGCATTACACATTGGTATACCAAAAAAAATAAAATAAATAAATAAACAAAAAGGAACACATTCTCGCTAATATGTATAAATATATGTACAACTACGAGACTAGTTAAGTTTTAACCTATAATTAACGTAATTGTTGTTTAATAATTTTTGTACGTCAACAAATGTTGTTCTTTGGCTACGAGCTGCGGCAACGGAAACAGGCCTTGAAGCCACGCTTTATAGCGCGCATATTATGAATGACTTGTTCCTGAAATACAACAAAGTTTTCAATATGTAAATAAATATAGAAAATATAGAGTATAGGATTTGCCAGCTCACCTGCATTAAATTGAAACACATGGCAATTAGCGCCATTCCCAGCAGCAGATAAACGGCACATAAAATGAAGCTCAACTCGACTTTGTCTTTATCGGCGGTTATCTGGAAATGAAAACGAATCGTGAATACAAAAGCAACAAGATATGTAAATATATAGATATTGATGTAGGTATTTGCATAAATTGTTAAGCATTGATTATTTGTACTCAGAATCAGTATAATTTTACTATGTTATCATGAGAGCTTTGCCCTTTTAAGTACTATATAACATCATCTAGAATTATCTAAATAGCTTCCTTTAGCTTAGCTCTTGTCACTGATTAGGAGTACATAAAAGCTGTGCCACATCAACTGTCAATTCAATCCATTTGCATTGCATACCACACGATCGCCCGGCACCAAATCACCAAATCCAATGCTGCTCAATGAGATGAAACAGAAATAGCTGCCGTCCAGATAATTCCAATCCTCCCAGCGTCCAAAGAGTATGGCGCCCGATAGTATATAGCTGTAAAGTGTAAATAAATCAATTAATGCAATTGATATGTCTAAATTTTCGCTTTTGCCACCCACCTGACCATAACGAAGACACAGACAGTTAGTGGGACAGTTATTTCATCCGTGCTGCCACGTATTTCGCGCTCAATATCTGAATCAGAGTCGGAGTACGGCACATCCAGCACACTGGAGGTCTGCATAGAGCTCTTGGTATAGGCACTGCTGCTGGTGCTGCTGCTAATCGAGCTGCTGTTGCTGTTGCTGGAGTAGCTGTTGCTGCTGCTGCTGCCACCGCCACGTGCGCTTTCCATGTTCTGCAACTGCAACTGAAGTGGGCATAGAATTGGGGAGATATAGATATAGAGCATATGCTATATGGTATATGTATGTCTGATATCTACTGACCGCTCGTGCCAGCTGACGCAGTTTGCGTCGCTCGCGTATTATGCGCCGCTTGGCTACGCCTGGACAAATGCGACAGAGACAGACCTTGGAGTAGATCCATTTAAAGGATTTGGCCAGCACATCGCCTGGGAAATAATAGTGGTAATAATTAAAAGCCAAAGCTCATATTAGCACTTAACATGACCACAACATTACTTTAACATAACCTTAACAGTTTAACTATTGCAATATTCATACCTATATTAGAGAGATAGAGCAGGAAGAGTGGCATGCCAATGATCGCATAGAGTATCGTCACCAGCTTGCCCCAATCGGAGCTGGGGGTTATGTTGCCATAGCCAATGGTCGTGATGACAGTTAGCGAGTAGAGAAATGCGCCCGAGAAGCTCCACTGATGATCAACGTCGGGGCCCTTGATCTGTTTCTTATACACAGCTTGTTGATACTTAAGCAGCACTTCGTTGACACTGGAGAAGAGAGAGGAGCTCATGAAATAGCTTAGAATATATATATATATATATTAGTTATTAGCTTTACCTATTTCTGTAGGCTTGTCGATCGTAGAAACTGATGTTCTCGGACGTCAGCTTCCAGATGCTGTTGAGGCACTCAGCCGTCGCATTGGGCTTGATTAGGTTTTTCGTCTTGAGTTTTTCGTATTCGAAAATTTCGATTGTCTGAAAGATGAAGGCGCCGCCAATGGTATAAAACGTGACTAGAAGTATGATGCCCACATTGCTGAACATAAATGCCGTGAAGTGACGGCAATGATCCTTGAAACGCTCAAATGCCGGCTTCTCTGCGGGCTTGCGACGAAAGGAGCTGCGCCGCGACGACATAATGTTGCCCGCCTCCACACCAAAACATCCAAATCGGTAACCGAATCGAAATCGAAATCGAAATCGAAATCCAATTGGACTTTGCCTCGATTAGCGGCTCGTTGGCAACTCTCGAGTTGTCGTCTGGACATGCTTCGATTCGATGCTTGGCCTGCCCATCGATCTAAATTGGTTGTGTTTCCTTGAAAAAGCTGCGAATACACATAAACATTTCATCAATGGTTGCTAAAGGACTTCCTGCAGCATCTATCCAAAAAATAAACAACGGGCCGCCTTTATAGACAAACACTCCATATATTACTCGAGCTGCCACTAAATCTCTGTGCTAATCTTTATTTACTCGCTTGTATTATTTTATTTGTGTGTAGTTCTCTTTTTATTTATGGATGCATGTTTGTGGCAACAAATGCTCAAACGATTCTTCTCTTTTATTTAATTTTATTTATTTATACCAACTAGTTGTAGATGCTTTGCATAAGGTCTATAATTTAGTAACCTAAATTGAATTAAACCGAGCTGAAATTATATTTCAGATATTTATTGTTTTTTTTATAAATATTTATATCATCAAACAAATATTTTAAAGAATTATTTTGATTATATTTTTATTTTTATATTTATATATATAATACTAATATTTATATTTTTACTCAATTTAATTTTTAATAACACTTTTACATATTTTACATTTTTTTTTTTTTTTTTTGTATTATTTACTTTTTCACCACACAATATATAATATTTTGTGATCCATGTTCTTTTTGAATAATCCAAAAATTCCAAAACCGAAACGCTCCACGCATAACTCATATTAACTAGTGATAATTCTTTTGAGTGCCCCATTCGCAGTGACAGTTTAATGATATTTTCGAACAGATTAATTTAAATATTCGTCTGCGAGCAGACGCCTCAATGGACTTGACTTGTTTTTATAAAAGAATGAATATGAATATGAATATAAATATGGAATATGGAATATGAATATGAATTATTTCATTTTGTTGCTCTAACAGTTGCCAAAGTTTTCTTCTTTTTTTTTTTTCGTTGTCTCTGAGTAACAAATGCTGTGGGTGGCATTGCTTGATTGCGGTCTTGCTCTGATGACGATGACGATGATAATGATCATCAAAATCATAATGATGGTGGCACTTGTCGCCTAGTTTCTGCTGCCCACAGCATCGAAATATGAAGACTTCCTAATCATATTGGAAGCGGTTGCCAAATGCTTTTATATTTCGTCTTTTTTTTTTAGAATACCCTGAGAATTACTTAAGTGGGGTAATATGAAACTGACTTTAACTAAAAAAAATATCATGTGTACAGTGAAGACTGACTAATACACACAACAAACAAATTTTGAATGGTGTAAACATTTTTTATAACAAAAATAAAGAATATATAAAATATAGTAATATTACAAAAAATAAAAGAACTCGGATATTTACAATTTCTATATATGTACATATATTTAATAATTTCACATTTGCTGTTTTAATATTTTAGCTAATTCAGAAATCTTACTTATATTATAAATTAAAAATATATATATATAGCGCTAGATTTTCAGGTATACACTACCCATTATAGCACTACAATAGGCTTAACATTCTTTGTTTATGTTATCCTACAGCTTTATGTTATCCTACAGCTTTCTCTCTCTCGCAGTCCGCTTTCTGTTCATTATTATTATTATTATGTATTAATACAGAGTATAATTTGGTCAATCAAACTCGCTCGCCCTCTCTCTCTCTCTTTCTTTCTAGCTCACTCTATCTCTCTTTCTTAGCGCCCTCTAGTTTGTAGTGAGTGTGAAATATGTTGAAGCTTATTTTTATAAACTTCTACAACAGCCAACAGTCATTTGTCTAATTTGTGGGCAGTATTTTTTTTTTCTTCATCTCATTTATTTATTTATTTCATTCTGCATGGCTAAATTATAGAAAATCTTGTTGGCTGAGATATCTGTCTTTACTTAATTAAAAAAAGGCGCAAACTACAGTTAAGAGCCAAATAGAAACATAGATAAGTACTTTGTATTTACAGTTGCGGCGGCGGTTCGTAAATTAAATTAAATTCCCTAACTATTTACAAGCAAAAACAATCAAAAATAAGAAAAATATCAGACACCCAGACATACATACATATAAATTTGTACATATGTATATATATGTGGCTAATTAAAAACCAAACAAATTGGCGCCAAAAGCAAAACAAAACAGCAAGAATAATGTTGAAAAGAAAAAGAATTAAAATTACGAGCCAAATAGCACAGGGGAGACTGACTGTTCGGCTAGGAGCTATGGGGAATGAGCGACTAGAGGGTCTACAGAAATCATAGCAGTATTAAATTCGATGCTTCCATCTTATATGTTTTCCTTAATAGATCGTCAGCCTCGTCAAAAATATACTCTATAAATTCTACGCCGCCTAACTGGGCCATTACACCCTGACTTTAATGAATGCGGGGTATAAAGAAAAACATTAAACATTTAATTGAAATGTGTATAGGCAAATGAAAAAAAAAAAATAGAGACATTAAAAAAACACTGTCAACTTTATGTTTATATTCTTAATGAAATAAAGCAGGTGTTAACACAATCAAAATGAATAAAACTCAGAATAATAATGTAAATACTCTTAGCTCTGATATACTAGCTTTCAACAATATGACTATTAAAATGCAATTAACTTGCTGAATTTTATGCCCAGCTAAAAAGTGATTTAATTTCTTATTAGCTGGAAAGCTTTCAGCACGATAACAATATGCTTTTTAACATTAAAAATTCAAAGCAAAAGCAAAAATCAACTAAACAAAATGCTAATTGACCTCAAAATTTAAAAGAATTTATGGAATTCCATGGATTACGGTAAAAAAAAAAAAATAATATAAAAAGAAAAGATCAAAAGACAGAAGAAAAAAAAATGAAGGAAATCGCACGATGATTTTATGCTAATATACATACGTTCATAATACACACATAGAAATGGGTGTGTAG